CCACTATCTTCATTGTCTTCATCTTCTTCTTCTTCTTCTTTCGTTGCTGAAATTGAAGATGTGTCCACAAACACACCATTACTCCCACTTGGACACATCTCCAAGTGCTCACAAGCACTTTTATGCTCCATAAATTCAACATCACGACTTTTGATGATCTTCTTGGTATCCAAACACATTAGCCTATATGCCTTGGTACCTTCACAATATCCAAGAAACATACATTTTGTACCTTTTGCATCAAATTTGGACCGCATACAATCTGGTACCTTTGCATAAGCAATGCATCCAAAAGTCCTCATGTGTGAAACACAAGGTTTCTTCCCACTCCAAGCTTCTTGTGGAGTCATTGATGTAAGTGCATTTGTAGGACACATATTCCTTGTATACACTACATTCACCACAGCTTCCGCCCAAAATTCATGCCCAAGGTTTTGAGCATGAATCATACTCCTTGCTATCTCCACAATAGTTCGATTTGCTCTTTCAGCAACTCCATTTTGTTGTGGAGTATAGGGAGTGGAAGTTTGTCTTGCAATACCATGAATCTTCAAATACTCATCAAAATGCTTTGACAAATACTCACCTCCATTGTTTGTACGCAACATCTTGATCTTGCACTCACATTGCTTCTCCACAAGTGCCTTAAATTCTTTAAACTTTGAAAAACATTCATTCTTGGATTTAAGGATGAAAATCCACACCTTCCTTGAAAAGTCATCAATAAATGTAACAAAGTACCTTGATCCTGCCATTGATGGTGTCCTCATAGGTCCACAAACATCAGAATGTACAAATACCATAAGATCTAATCCACACAAAAGCAACAAAGAGAAAATGACTTCAACTTACTTGAATAGCACAACAAAGAGTGTGTGGGCCCATAACCTATTGAGAAAAGAACACTATAAGCATAATACAAGTAAGTAGAAATCAGCAAGGTTGCACATAAGAGAAGTGTGGAATGAGATAGTTCTCTCTTCCAACTCTCGTTACTTATAGGTAGTGGTTGCTGTCCTAAAAGGACTTCTTCCACCATTTGACTTTTACACATATGCTCCTTGGATCTTTTGGCTCATACCACAAGGGTATCCAAGGATCTTAGGATCCTATGGCATCTTATATACCACGAGGGTATCCTATGCCATATACTAATTACTCTTACCTAGTTCTTTGGATATTCCCTATGACACATTTTATCCTCTTGACTTTGACTCTTTGTCGTTCTCTTGAAATTGTTTCACCACATGAGCTCATTACGGGTCGTATTCCAAATGTATCTCACTTACGAATATTTGGTTGTCATGCTTGGATTCTAGTATCAGAACCTCAACGGCGTACCATTAGAACTCATCGACAAGAAGGCATATATGTTGGTTTTGATTCACCAAGCATTATTCGTATTGTTGATCCATCAACTGACACATTATTACGTGCACGTTTGTAAAATTTCCGTTTTGAAGAAAATATATTCCCATCTCTTCGAGGAGGAGTATCCAATCAATAAAGAAATAAAGTACTCATATTTGAAACACCAGAAATGTTTACAATGAATCCCAATCTTAGGACATCTTTGGCAGAAACTGAAGTTGTTTAGATTTTACATTTAAAACGGATTGAAGATGAAACACTTGATGGCTTCAATGATGCACCTAAAATTACAAGAGTTCCTATTAATGAGGCTCAGAATGCACTTGCTCAGATTGCAAAGCCAATGACTACAATACCTCAAGTTATAACAACAACAACTAAAAGAACTCGTGGACGAGATAAACAACCACGTAAGAAAAAAGCTATAAAATTAACTAATTCTGGTATTATTTCTCAAGAAATTGCCACTCATCTTGCAAGACTACCAATTCATGATGATATATCCATGCATAATGTACCTTCAATTCCAATGAAAAACAATCTTGGAATTGGAAGGAATAAGAACAAGTTGAATAAAGAATTATCTATTCTGTATTGTACTGCAGATTATATTTGGAACAAACCATCTATTATGGTAGATGAATCATTTGCATATATGATTATAGAAGCTCTTTCTTGCAAGGAAGACGATCCTGAACCTTAAACCATCCAAGAGGCGATGCGTTGCTCAGATTGGTCAAAATAGAAAATTGCTATTGAGGAAGAGTATGCCTCTTTGTGTAAGAGGAAAGTCTTTGGTCCAATTGTAGACACTCTTACAACTCGCCCCGTGGGATATAAAATGGTATTAATATGCAAGCGAGATGCTCAAGGCCAAATAATCCGCTATAAAGCTTGTCTTGTTGCTCAAGGATTTACTCAACGATTTGGTATTGTTTATGAATCATCATATTTTTCAGTCATGGATTCAATTACATTTCGATATATTATTGGAATGAAAGTTCATGCCACCCTTGAGATGCATTTGATGGATGTAGTTACTACATATTTATATGGTTCTCTTGATGCAAATATTTATATGAAAGTTCCACTTGGCTTAGAAACAGGAACTCCAAATCTACCCGCTCTAGAAAAATATCGTGGTATTAAATTATGTAAGGCCTTGTATGGTTTAAAACAATCTGGACACATGTAGTATCAACGTCTTTGAGATTATTTAATTACAAATAATTTTATAAGTGATCCACTAATCCCTTATTTGTTTATCAAACGAGATAAAACTAGTTTTGTGATCATCGCTGTATATGTTGATGATCTTAACCTAGTAGGTACTACATTTGCATGTGTTACAGCTACAAACCTACTTATATGTGAATTTGAGATGAAAATGTTAGGAAAAAAAACTTTTTGCATTGGTCTTCAAATTATGCATCTTACAGATGGTAGTATTTTTTTCTACCAACTAACATATATTAGATGAATCTTGTAAAGATTTAATATGATTGATGCTTATCCATTGTCCACACCAATGGTTGGACATGGTCGTGATGGTCATGATCCATACCGTCCATGCCAAGAAGAGGAGAAAATATTGGGAGACCAATATCCATACCTCGCAGTGATTGGAGCACTTTTGTATTTAGCTACATCTACAAGACCAGATATTGCATTTGGAGTTAGTGTTCTTGCAAGACATAGTGCATGTCCAACACTACAACATTGGAATGGCATCAAACATTTATTACGTTATTTAAAAAGTAATGAAGACTTGGAATTATATTACACAAAAATTGCAGATCCAAAATTGGTTGGATATTGTGATGCAGGATATAAATCTGATATTGCAATAGCTAAATCTCAAACAAGATATGTATTTTTAAGACATGGAGCTACAATATCATGGAAATCAGTGAAACAAACAATAACTACAACTTCATCCAACCAAGCAGAAATTATTGCCTTACATGAAGCATCTCGAGAATGTATTTGGTTGCGATCAATTGATAAATTCATTCAAACAACCTGTGGATTTTCATATGATGATTCTCCAACTATCTTGTATGAAGATAATAGTGCTTGTATTGCACAGATGCAAGTTGGTTTCATTAAAGGCAACAGGACAAAGCATATTGATCCAAAGTATTTTAGTTATACTCATGACTTGATTACTGATCAAACACTTATAATTAAGAAAATTGAATCTACAAATAATCTTGCTGATCTCTTCACCAAAGCTCTCCCATTAAGCAACCATCGTCGACTTACTTATGGCATTGATATGCAGTGACTTGCTTTTCTTAAATATGAAAGTTAATGAGCTCTTTAAATAATTAAAGAAAATGATGTTGTACTCTTTTTTCTTCATCTATGGTTTTGTCCTTAAATAAAATAAGGTTTTTCTAGATAAGGTTTTAATGAGGCAACAATTCTTGATCTTGCAAGATCACAGAAAAGTATAAATCATGATTCTATACAAATTTTATATTATGTAAATATTATGATGAGCGAGGAGGAGTGTTGAGATCATTAAATGTAGTCGGCGCTCTCCAGTTTCGCTGCAACACGCAGTGAGCCTACAGATATTGCCAAGCATTACGGTCATATCAACCTCACTTTCCACGAGCTATTCAAAATATCGAAGACGGAAAGAGTTAAACCTTCGTGTGTAGAAACTAATGACAACCTTCAAACAGTAGTTTGTATGAGTGAATCTTCTATGTTGTCACTATACTTCATGCAAAATCATACAGAAAGACTCACGACCAATCTTATGCAGTTATATTACAGTTTAAGAAAGAATAAATTTAAGGCTTATAACATGTGCTATGTTCGAAACCGAAAATTCTGCGGGATGACAGCCAATGCTTTCTCCTTCTGGCAAAGGGAACCTTCGAGTCGATCATTTTAGAACAAGTAATTTAAATAAAGCCCGTACTTTTTTAACTGTCACTAAATTCTAATGTATGTTCAAAGAATATTTTTTTACAAATTTCTACTTTATACTCCAAATAATAATATTAACAAAAAAAAGTTTATCACCTTCTTCTTCTAACTCTAACCTTTTGTAATTTTAAAATAACATAACAATATAATACACGTGATGTGGTTTATTCATCACTAAATGCTTACGATGCTTTTTTACAGACAAAAAAACCACATCACCAAGCGAATAAAAACGAACAAAGCTGCAGAGCCATTTTTACTAATATGTACTTTACACCAAAAAATAGCATTGTTAAAGTTTACCACCCTAGTTTCTTCTTTTTTTTTTTTCTTTTTTTTTTGACACACCTTGTTTGTTAACCAATTGGGCGAGAGTTTCCATTAGGCCCATCCATAAGTATCCATCCCGGGAATCGAACCCTCCAACCATGGCATTCGCTTTGAGTACCTCAATGCTATCACTTGGTATAGTTTCGGGTTATCTCCGACCGAAAGAGCTCCGTAACCGGGACTCGAGAACCCAGATCAACTGGGTGCAAACTAGGTATCCTAACCGTCAAGACTATTACGGAAGTGAGCATTTACCACCTCAGATCCGTAATTCCTAAACGCCAACCGGCAGAAAGTTGCCGTCCGTCCGGCAAAGGGCACGAAGCCAGGTTGGGGGGGGGGGGGGAGAGATTAGGGTTTGGGGGCTCTCGCAGCCCTGTGGAGGAAGAAAGGGTAGAGCCTGGTTCATAACCAAGGCAGCTTCACTGCCCTCCACCTTTTTCACAACTTCCCACGTCCCCTCGCGACTCGGAACCCCCTCCGTCGCACCTCATACTTCGCCATGGGCCGCCGTAAGTCTCCATCATAGCTTTGTTCTTTGAAAACCTCACACTATCTCGTCGCCCTGCCAGTTCTCTTGCTGGTTCTGCTTCGATCTGCTGTTGTTTCCAGTGTTTTTCGGAGCTGGGTCTTCCGCTTCCTGCTTCAGTCTTCTGGACTGTGTTGTAATTCGCGTTCTATGTTCGCTATGGGTCGCCGTAATGTCTTCTGTGTCCCGCTCATCATTTCCTCTTATGGATGGGTACTTGTGGTTTAAGATTTAGGGTTTTGATTCTTAGGGTTTTCTTTGTCAACATCGTTGCGTGCTTTCAGTGTGGTGGTGTTGTGTTGCACACGAGTCTGGTTTCGATCTGACTTAGCTTGAATGCTAGGTTCCGGTCTATCGTGTGTTTTATGGTATGGAAGGTTGTTGATGTGGTGAGAGTGCTGTATTGCAGGTCCGGCTAGATGCTACCGGCAGATCAAGAACAAGCCTTACCCTAAGTCTCGATTCTGTCGGGGTGTTCCGGACCCTAAAATTCGTATCTACGATGTGGGCATGAAGAAGAAAGGAGTTGATGAATTTCCCTACTGTGTTCACTTGGTGTCATGGGAAAAGGAAAACGTCTCTAGCGAGGCTCTGGAGGCTGCTCGTATTGCCTGCAACAAGTACATGACGAAGTACGCCGGAAAGGATGCCTTCCATCTGCGCGTGCGCGTGCATCCCTTCCATGTGCTGCGTATTAACAAGATGCTTTCGTGCGCTGGAGCTGATAGGCTCCAGACAGGCATGAGGGGAGCCTTTGGAAAGCCACAGGGTGTGTGTGCTCGTGTCGCCATTGGTCAAGTGCTCTTGTCCGTTCGTTGCAAGGATCAGAATGGTGTGCATGCACAGGAGGCTCTTCGTCGTGCTAAGTTCAAATTCCCTGGTCGTCAAAAGATCATTGTCAGCAGGAAGTGGTGAGTATCTTGGATGTTGTTAATTGTGGTTATCGATTGAGCTCTGGGTGGTGTAGTCCTTTAAGATAAAGAAGGCCCGGCGTTCTGGATCCAGACATCTGATTTATGTAATCTCGCATCGGTTTGTCATTATATATATATTTTTCACATTTTTTGGTCAGTGGAAACACGTAGAGCCCTTTTGCGATACATGTGAGTTTGGGTCCGTGAGGTTTAGACCTCTCTCAAACACGTGTGTCCTCTCTATACAGGGGATTCACTAAGTTTGCCAGAGTGGACTACGTGAAGTGGAAGGAAGAAAACCGCCTGGTTAACGATGGTGTCACTGCTAAGGTGAGTTACATTGTGATGAATGAGGAGCTTAGAGTGTTTTCCCTCTTTTCTCTGAACTGAATCATTTATATTTGTTGCCAATTATGGCGAATTCTTAGGGTTCTCTATTGTTTCAGCATGAGCTACTCCTAATTTTATTTTCATGTTTTCCTTGCATGACAGCTTCTTGGATGCCACGGACCTTTGGCCAACCGCTCTGCCGGAAGAGCGTTCATTGATGCCGCTGTTGCCACTCACTAGGCATTTCATCTAGATACCTCTTACAAGTAGAGCTGCAATTGCCCACGAGATTGATTTTTAAATGAACGTTTATCTTGTTAACACTCCAGTTTTAATTGTTGGAATAATCTGTGCAACCTATCTGATGATGATATGTATTTCCTTCTTAGTACTGTAATCAATGAAGTAATCTTAGTATGGTATCATGTGTTTCATTCGCCAGGTCTTTCAGTTCTTCGTTACTTTTTCCTGGGTTCTTCCAAAGGCTGCTTCCGTGTCTTTGTAAAGTTGTGATATAGCTATCTACACATGGCATCTAAATGCAAACACAACCGGACATGCTGATATAGCTACCGCATCAATCTCCAGCTCCTGTGTTTGGGTTGGCGGGTGTAAATATTCGTTACAAGATTGTTGAATCCCAGGTTACTCCAGTGAACGATAGACATGATCTATTCTGACCTTTGAATGTTTCATGACTACGTAATCATTCATGACTGTAGTTCAAGGTTATGTAGATGGAAAGCTGTTTTAGGATTTTTACTTCTGTATGAAGTAGCACGACACTTCATCCCGTGTACACTGACATATAATGCTATGTCAGGAATTTAATGGCTGGGAAAGCCCTCTTACCCTTCACTTGGGAGGAATTAAGGAAGGTGAGAAGATAAGGATGGTTGTGGTTGGGCTGAGAACAGGGTCAAATTTAACATGAAGGTCAAAATATGTCATCAGTTTAGGGCGACAGCCTCTGGGATAGGGGATGTAGCTCAGATGGTAGAGCGCTCGCTTAGCATGCGAGAGGTATGGGGATCGATACCCCACTTCTCCAGCACTTGGTTAGCTCGTTGTGTCACTACAACTTTCGTTTTATCCTTGATGTGAAAAATGAATGTAGTGATTATGATTTAGATATCTAAATATAATCTAACTGTATGTATATATATGAAATTTATTTATAGATGTTTTTATTTTTATGTTTTTGTTGTGGTGTGTGTGGATGTTATACAGACATATACACTTTATTATTAGGGGTCGTTGCTTTGCCTTAGGAGTAATATGTTGATGCAAACAACACAACAATGAATCACGATGCAAACAAAACAGCTGAGAACCACACAAAAGTATTTCAATAGTACGTCATTAAAAGATATATTTTCTTATGTTTAAAAACATAATTTTATGACTATACATTGTTAGGAATATATTTTTTAATATAAAAATTACATGAAATTAATCACATTTACACTGCGTTACATTGTTATTGATACACTTCTGAGTACATTGTTCAGAAAGAGATTGTGATTTTTGTCAGTTGATCTCAATGAAAATTTCAAAATGATGTGTGATTATCAAACTACATGTTTAAATTAGTTTTTATTTTTATATTTTTACAAGCTTATATTTGCCAACAGATAGAAAAAAAACTGCCAAGCTATTCACAGCCGTCGACATGTCCACTTAGTAGAAGCTTGGTTGTCCTCTCATGCTTGTATGTGATAGCATTTCGTTCATTGAAAGTTGGTCCACCTGAGCCTAAAAAGACATTACTTATGACAAGAGATCAAGAGGCAAATGGCAGATTGAAATCAAACATTAGAATTTGAAAGAAGATACGCAAGGCATTAAAAGATAGATTACTGGTAGTGCTGTGTACATTGCGTTTCCTCCACGTACTCCTACTTAACACAAAATGGTATTGGAATGTGTTTATGTAGTGTAACCTAGGTATCTCTTATCAATGCAATACGTCTTCATTGATTATTATCTAAATACAGTATTGAGATGGAAAAAAATGAATCTTAACTGCATTGTCAAGCATTGGCCTTCGAAAGCACTTGCTTGTACAGATCTACATACTGGTCGGCTGAAGTATCCCAACTGAAGTCAATGAGCATAGCCTTTTTAACTAAATCTTGCCACCATTCAGGTCTTTGCGAATAATAATCCAGCGCCCGATCCAATCCCCAGTTCAGACTCTGAACGAGACAGCATACAAGTTAACCAAGTTCGTACGTCGCACATCAATAATACTGGCAAGAACTAGAACTACGAACAGACTGCCCTAAAACATTTTGACATTAACTGCCAGCTAAATAAAATTGAGCCCTGAAAAGTTCTCAAGAGATACTGCAGAATATCTTCACTACATGTTTTGTGTGACCCGTGGCTTAACTACTACCCATATACCCAATCCTTCTAAAGCAATGAACAGTTTTGTCTGTAACAACATATGCAGACCCATAAGATGTTAAAATTTTAGAACAAATAAAGACTCAGTTATCTGCAACATAGGTAAGCAATATTAATTTCACTATGTGCTCCCAAATGTCCCAAAATGAACGGTAATCAGACAACACACAGGACTTCAATATTCCATTTAATGTACTCACCCCTTCGTTTGCATCGTCAAATACAAATCCGTTCTTTTTCTCCTCGGGATTCCTTTCATCGTCGACATCAAACACACTGCAGATGGAGCAATCACAAGCAACGTTCAGTCCCAGAAGCCTTTGCCTACTTTAACAAAGCAACTTTTAAGCGTTGGTGGACAATGAAGTTACTGAAGGATACCAATCTAACTCCGACCCTGAGTAACCCACTGATTCAGCACTCTGAAATGACCTAAAAAACCTGAACTAAAAATTGAAACTGCTGAGTAAAAGACTTCTTATTCTGAATATCCAAATAACACTTCACGCAGCCTTGGAGGGAGAAACAAGGGTCGAAATTAAGCCAACACAAACCTATCTGCAAGCCCACCAGTCCTCCGCACCACAGGTATTGTTCCATAGCGCATAGATATCATCTGCAATTACAAGAAAACCACAATTATCAAAGAGCAAGCTATGATGGGATGACTAAACATACCACATATTCGTTTCGATTATGAAAACTAGTGATCTGACCTTCAGATCATTTTGACGAGTTCAGCCGGGGGTTAACAAGGCGTACATAACAAGATTCATGGCATTAAGTATAGTGGAGAAAAGAAAAAGAAAAATAGATGTTCCAAAGGAATATCAGACCTGTGTAAGACCGCAGGGCTCAAATATAGATGGAATCACAAAGATATCAGATGCCGCATATATGGCATGTGAGAGAGCCTCATCGTACTTCAGAACAAGGCGGATTTGGGGGTGGTTTTCGAACTGACGAGCAATACCCTCAAACTCATGCTGTTGGAGAAATTTCAAATTAGTAATTCAACAGCAAATAAATGTGTGTAATATGCTGATCAAAATTTTGGAGGGAATACATTTGCTGTAAGATCCTTCACAACCATCCACACAGCGGTACAGAAATCGATCAGTCGAAGCTCGATCACATAATCAGTACTCATGGATATTGTCATGGATATTAAATAAATTAAGTAAAAATAAAATTGCTCAAGAAGGCCATACCTGAATGTGAGGAACGGGACTAGATCCCAACAATATAAATTGACCACCTTTCTCTAACGTGCGGTAGATGGCGTGTCTAATGAGATGCACACCTTTTTGTGGGACAAGCCTTGTCACACATCCAACCTGAGAGACACATACGTGCGCTTGAGATTTCGCACTTTTAACAAATTAATAGTAAGCAAATCCTTATTCATCATAATAAGGATCTGAAAGCTGGATGAACGAAGATAAAACATACGTACTATGACTGGCATATGTATTGCCACCAGGACATGTTGATAATGGCACAGTAGTTAATTTTTTTCCTTGCTGGAACTCAAATACATAAAGAAAAAAGTAGATCTGAATAAAAGACACGGCTTATCGTGACAGCAAATGCATCATAGGCCTAGGTCAGAAATGGCAACAAACAACCAAAGAACAAAGGAGGTTTCTACTGATCAGCAGGAAGGTATGAAACGAAAGTTGCAACTGCCTCCCATTATAACATAAAAGCATCGATCAAAGATTATATGTAACGTTAGCTGCCTGATTATCATGAGGGAGAATTCCTATTTGAGGGTCAATCCGAAACTAGTCACGATATTTTGGGACATTGCCAAGAAGCCTCAATAATAACAAATTTGAGTTTAAAATGACCAAACGATAAAGAGACGCAAGTCCTACCAATGGCCTTCTTTCATCCTCGCCTTCACTAGCTAGCCCCAAGCGCTCCCGCAGCCTTTGCTTGTTGACAAACTTTCCATCTATATCATGCGCGCTATATTGGCAATCAATTAGAGTGTCTGTGGCTGGATCCCACACTTCTTGATCAATTCCGTTTAGAACTCCAAAAAACTTCTTTGAGTGTACACCCAATGTTCCATGCAAGCCTTTTCCACCCTGTAAATCATCGACAAGAGGTTACTGTTGTGAATGAATGGCATTGTGGAAAACTCAGATTTTCAGTGCACATGCAAGATTATAACAACTGATTTTAGTTGAGACAGTAAAATAATGTAAATCATCACACACTCAATAATATGGCAAATACGTTATCCAAGGCCACTTTGAAAATTATTGATTTGGAAATTTTACGGGTGATATCTAATAACCTGAAACACAAAGAATCTATATCTTTCAAGGCACACAGATTGCAATTAACTGCTTTGTGTGAAAAAAAAAAAACAAATGACAGAAACGAATGGAACATAGGGAAAGTGCAGGAGATTGCATAACAGGAAAAAAAATCAAAACCCACTTGTTACCACATACTCATAAATCTTGCATGCGTTCGAAAGAACATGAAAAAAAATGCAAGAACTTGTTACACGTACCTCTGGTCGTAGCACCTCTTGAGCATATGTGGGGGACACAGTAGTCACAACGTTGGAGAAAACAACTCCTCCCTACACAGTTTCGAAACGGATTTTCCACAATGAGAAGTGTCGACGTACTAATATTTCATTTAATTCTATTTTAAGTCGGATCTTCAGCGTAGAAACATAGCGATGAATTCTTCGCGGTAGTATCTTGCATGTAGGAGCCAGCCATTATTCATAGCTAGATTAGAATCACAGCGAAATATTTACCCCAATTTCAAGGTTGCACGTTTTCAAAAGAGAAAACATTAAACTAAAAAGGCCAATCGACAGCTTACTATCAACACGAACTAGTTACCTACCTCAATGAGTAGGGAAATCATTAGAAGTGTAACAGAAGCATGTACATCATTATTGAATCTTCGCATGATCACTAGGAGAAAGAGCATCAATGACCTTAAGTAGATTGATTTTGTTGTGATGGGAATTATCTTGCATTCGATCAGGACGCATCAGGGTCTGTGGAGACAGACCACATGCAGCGATTGCTCCAGAATTCTCAGCTCCTTGATACTCAAAATTATGGCAAGTGAATGCCAACCTAGCAGAGTCCAGCCCAAGTGGCACAAAAACATCCCAGTACAAAGGGGCCTGCAGAAATCACACAGCTGATTCAATCGTCAGCTTTGTCATAATAAGCAGGGCATGTAAACTGCTTAGCTATATAATTTCATTCCTAAGTATGAGCAGTCTCACTATCATAATAAATTATAAGAAAATGATCGAGCAACACTAGAAAAATATCTCAAGTGCTACTTAATTGAACAGAGGATGAAGAAAATAAATTGTAGATGATCGAGTATTAACATTACCACTACAGCAGTTTGCCAATCATGACTGTGAATTATATCTGGTCTCTTTCCAGATTGCAATAAAAACTCCATTGCAGCTCGGCAAAAGTAAGTGAACCGCCTGAAATCGTCAGGTTCACTGTAAAACTGCCCTCTCCAGAAAAATTTCGCTGGATGTAGTGGCTCAATAAAATACACAGGAAGCCCTGCACAGAACAGGATATCAATGGTATTACAGAATACTCGAACGCCGTGAATAGTTGAAACAGTATATTTATTGAGCATATAGATGCATGAACAGACACTCCCATAAAAATAAAACTGTTGTTAAAACACGTCTTGCAACTTAAGGGCATCCAAAAAATCAGAGACTAATGTTGATAGAGACAACTAAAACACACACGTCAAGTGTAGGTTGAAATGGCTCTTCCATTCAATGGCTAGTGATGCCACTTCGAGACCGAACTACAAGTACCTAAAGAGTCCTCTGAGTATGCTCTAAACGACTATCACTCAAAAAATGCCAAGTTCAAGAGCTTCAAACGTAAAAGTTAAAAAGAAGTAGTCGCGTACCTTCCACAATCCCAGACCACACTTTATTCTTGTGTGTTTGGCCATCGAAGGACGAATGGAGCTCCAAGTCCAACTCCTGTATACAAAAACGTATCATACGCCTCTTCAGAACAGGTCGATGATATCTGAACTACCTTGAACCCGCTTAAAATTATATCATATTAATCCATATAAGGGAGGAAAACAATTGTGATTTCAGCGATCATGCAACGAGTAATGATCACAACACGTAGATTAGACACCCAAGTTAGCAAATAAAGCCAACAGCATGAACACTTCAGTATTCAAACAACCATTAGGGTGAGGATTATGGAACAAACCTTGAGATTAGAGATGCGAGAGTAGTCCATACAATCATACTTCGGAAGAATAGCTTCCACAAGATGCCCCTTTCTTTGTAAGGATCGACTTAATCCTGTTAGCACGTCTCCCAAACCTCCAACCTTCAGAGAGCATGTCATTAGTCTCATCTCAGGATTTAAGTCAATTTGTGACTATCAGTACTGCGTCGTAAGAGAATCATAAGCGAACACTAATGCAGAGAAAAGTACGTCTTCGACCATCGATGAGATTTTGTCGCGTCTCCTAGTACACATGCATTGCCTACGTCATGTATTAAAGATGCTAACGACAGGGTAAGCAATTCATAGTTTGTGACCATCTGAGAACCAAGTACCACACATAAGATATAATACGCGGAAAATCTCACTATCCCCTTCGAGGAAGGCTAAGATAAGTAAAAACTTTTCTCATCAAAGTTTTCTTCCAGGTAAATTACATAAAATAGATGCTTCCTAGCTTTTCCTCATCTTTTAGAAAGATAGAGAATACCATGATTCCCATGCCTGCAAGCTTTACTAGTCAGTTGATGAATTGAACAATATTATAGTTTAAACAATTCCTCGACATAAGATGGAAATCTTTTTAAACAGAGTCTATGACTGAAAAAAACATACCTTAGCAACTGGGGCCATTTCAGCAGCAATGTGTATCACATATATTCCTGGCCTGAAGAATACGACAAAAAACACGATAATGTTATGATTATGTTTATCCAAATTTCAAACTTGTAATAGAGAACAAAAGACTGATGAAAGGCCAACGCCCTGAGATCTTTCGGGGGTATACTTCCTAAAAACGGGATATACTATTCTGAGAACAACCAATGGATCCTAAAAAAGACTTGCCAAGATAGACTCACAAAATAAACTAACCCAAAATTGAATAAGTTGGCATGGGACCTTATCTAATATGATCTATTCAGGAACAATGGTTCTCAACAGGGTGTATAGTGACACCTTCAATCTCTAAGAGCTTGACTTCTATATAGGCATTCCGCCTATCTAAATGATATGCCAACAAGAATAAGTGGAAGCAGTAAAACGTGAAAGGCAAAATTCTTTCACCTTTTCTTAGGTTGTAAAAGCTCCTGGAAAGCACCCACCAGGTCTTCGTCAGGCTCGTCTGCAAGATTAACATACACATCGCACAATCGTTTTTCTCTACGCCAAGCCATCAAGTGCAGCTCCTTTGCATCTTCCTGTACCACATGATTTCTCGAATGATCAATAAAATATGTTTCGCTTCCAATAATTTAAGAGCTCAGGATAGATCAGGGAATACATTCGATCAAGTGGCAAGCACTTATTACATACGCACACGCACACGCACACATACACAGTGAATTCCCATAAAAGTCCTCCTGACCTGGGTTAGCAAGTCACCCAACATCAACGCGTCGATGCGCAGCAGCAGCTCGCTCCAAAAGTCCCATGTCATTTCATCAACAGGAACTTGCACCACAGAGGTCTCATTTTCAGACTTTAGATCGTTCAAAGAGGCCTGGAAAGCTTCGACTTCTGCTGTGTAGATTTGCAATTGTGCTTGAATTTCAGCATCTGATTCCCGTATGCGCTCTTCCAAAAGTTTCACTTGTTCACGCAGCCGAAGATTCTCGCTACGCAGATCTAAAAGAGCATTCTTTTCAGCTACGGCTCGAGCAAGCAAGGACTTAAGTGAATCCACCTTCACAAAATAACGTCAGAAAGAACATTGAACAATTAATAATCATTATGAAGTACAACCATCACTTGCGAAGATTAAGGCAAATATTTTAACACGACCATGGAAATGCCATGTATCAATAGCAACTGGAATCAATTGCAAAAAGCAAGGTGATGTTATACAATGCTATACAATGTTACGACAAACCATGTCATCAGCTCAATTGAATGTTAAGGCTTAATTGTCAAAAAAGAAAAGACGTCAATTTAGATCTTACTTGGCGTTGGAGCGTTTGATCTTCAGAAGATGAAGAGCTGTCTGATCGACCAGCCAACTGAGCTCGCAGAGCAGCTGCCTCTTCTTGTAACGCCATGCTTTCATCTTCCAAAGATTTAAGCTCTGCGCTATTAGCATTCGCTTCAGCTAATTGTTTTTCCATATCAGCTATTTTTTTTTCTAATCCCACTATGTACTCTTGTAATCCTGCCCTTTCCCGTCCGGTTCCCCTGGAAAACTTCGTTATCTCTGCCTGTGCATCTGCAAGTTGTACCCTCAAAGAATTTACCTCATCTAATGAGCTTTGATATTTTGCTTCTAGTAGACCATTACCACCAGCTTGTTTAAGAGCAGTCAAGCTTTCTTTCATCACTCTATTTTCCTCCTTCAGCGTTGCGAATGCTTGGCTATCTACTTCAGTCTGAGCAAGTCCCTGCCTCAGTGCTTCAACCTCCTCTTCCAACAGCTGGGTCCTCTCCCTAGCTTGAACAGTATATTTCAGTTTGGCTTCTGACTCCGCAAGACGTGCCTGCCAGACCAATTAAGCAACAGAAAAAAAAAGAAAAAAAAAAGAAGTCAATCACTACTCAAGATTCCAAAATATCACTGGTGATGCTGGACATGAAGCCAAGAATTGCACTACGCTCACTTTGTAATCCAATGAACTTTAACCTCAAGCGCAAACCATACCTTCAAAATCTGAACTTGCGACTGAAGTTCTTCCTTTTCATTACGTGCTGTTTGTAATTCATTAACAGCGCGCTCACGCAGCTGGCTAAGTGTCCTGATATCTGATCATCGGAGCGATACATTAACACTCTGCCAGCTTTGTTGTATAGGTCGAGTTTCGTTATCTACAAAAGGGAATATGACAACTGCTACATTGCGGGACGGTGAAAGGCTACTCACTTGTTTCTGCTTCCTTCACCAAGAGCATAAGATCATTCACAGAAACGCCTGTACTCTCTCTGTTTGCAGTTGAAGCTGGCATCCTCTGCAAACCATTTCTACTGATAATGAGTCAACTATGAGCAGCTCCATTAAAGGAGGTGCACAGAAAAATCGTCATAAATTACAAAAGTGCACTATCATCCTGAACAGCTACAGTTGAAGGAGATGCTTCGAAAACATGTCTATTTACGCCAAGAAATTGCCATTGCCTATGGAGAAGCTCAGGAATTGGGCCAGACTATTAAGTGCCCTATGTCGCATATATTACCTCAAACGGACCTTCACTTGATGTCCTGTTTCCATCTGATTCCTGCCCCTCGGCATTCGAGGCAGCAGTTGAAGCACCACCTCCTTGAGCATAAAGTCTACCCCCATCCCCTGGTGGAGAAAGTTCTGCTCCACTGGATAATGTTTGAGGATCCTGTACTGTAGCTGGATTGTCTCTGCCATCTTCACCAGTACGATTACTTACTTCTGAAAGTGGACGGTCTCTCACTCGCCTAGATTGACTTCTTTTCGGGTTAGAGCTGCAATACAAAACAAACACAATAGCAATAACCTTAGATGTTTGCTATTCCTGATCAGAAGGTGAACGAGAGCTTATACCTGATCGACTCTCCTGGTGGAAACCGAAAATATTACATACCTTTTTGTTCCAATAATTACATAATGTAGTATCTATCAAACCCAGCAAATGAAGGGAAATGTTAGAACGAAGCAGACTCTTCAACTAATGCCACAATAATTTTACTTACTCGCAAAATTCGTAAATAAAGCAGGCTGACTAAACTCTGGATGTCGACTATATAGCCTCGAAATTTGTTATTCTGTGAAAAAAGTAGAAGCTAAAGCTTGAAAGCGCCACTTCTGAACCCATCGATGCATCGTCTGATGATACACACTATATCAGCTCTTAATTACGATAAAATTGAGCAATCTAGAATGCATTGTTACGAGGCATACCTTGTGGCTGCCAACTAGATCAGGAACTACAACTGTCATACCAATGAACAGTATCAATTCCGTCCTTTATTCACAAAGTGGAACCTAAACTTATTTACTATACTCACCACAATACTCCATTCCGTAAGTAAATAGGTTAATCACTGCATTCTCAAAGCATTTGTGATAGTGTACAGTGTTAACTTGCAATGCTGCGAAGCAGAGATTTTCAATGTACACAAGGATGAAAAGCACAGCATACAAACATCTTTTCTGGTTTCTGAGATGTTAAACAGCTCAGAATCAGTAAGATAATAATGTTTTATACTGGAATACTCGAAGTTGACAATGGCAATAATTTTAAGGCACACTCGGAGCAACTCAGAAGCTTGAGAGTTGCTGTTCGCAGCTTCAGATTATAAAGTTCAATTTCATAATTGAAAATTACTATTCGGGCACAAATGCAATTACAGAACCTTACGCGGGAGCGCTCCACGATAGGAACCTTGTTTACTACCGATAAAGATCCAAGGAAAAGCCAAGGAAAAGCCACTCCGAATAGACACGATTACACCCCAAAGCCACAATCTGTAGAGTTGATTAAGCTCCTGTACAGAATCGAGAACAAAGGAGAGGCAATTCAGCCAGTAGAGTTGAAGCACCCGAACCTGCTGCTGCGACCCCGAATTCTACACGACGGAGAAAGGGGCGTAAAGCAAAATCCACCACTCCCACGCTGCCTGAGCTTCGCTGAATCCTCAAAGGCAACTCTGCAGCCATACTTAACTTGGCTAAAGCTAATAAAATTGTGCGGGAAAATGCGGACGGGAACAGTTGTACTGCCTATGCTGAACGGCATCCGAGAGCTTGTTGCCGCTCGAGCCGACATTGCTCAAAGCCTCCTCCTCCTTCTCCTCCTCTCCCCTTATTTATGATATTAGAACCCTGCGGATTGAAATTCCATCATTCAGCCAAAAACAAAACTGAACAGCGGGGTAGCCCGTCCCTCGACGATCTCGCAAAACCCAATGTCCCTCACACCGAACTCATTTGCCTCCCGAATGCCTCACGACAAACGAAGAATGCCATCATCCCCTGTCTCACCTTGCACGCCCTCCAGGCCGCCACACATCACCAATCCTCAATCTGAAACCCCGACCGAAAAAGGTTCAGCAACCAAGGACTGAGCTCAAGCACAAAAATCGGAGCTCAACACTGTGCAAGTTTAACTTTGCGCAGCAGCGAGAGATCGTTCGCGAAACTCCCACCATAGTCGTCTCCGTCAGGGCCTCCCTCGTGGAACTCCATGGCATCCACACAAGCTTTTTCCACCGAAATCCGAAGCTGGCTCACGAGCCTCCGGCCACACCCAAAGCTCCCCCATCTTCCAAGTCAGAGGCCTTGGCCCGAACCTCCTGGTTCGGCGGCCCCCGCTGCGCCGCCCCATCCCGAGCCTGATGCGGCGTCTGGTGCCCAGACCAGATGCTCTCTCCCTGTGGTCTCGATGCACCTAATTCCGCGGACGGTGATGGGTCTATTTCCGGACCTTCGGAATCGTTACATATATATTTGTAATAATATAATATATACTGCGAATTATTCTTTCATCGCTATAGGTTACTTTTGAAGGAGATAAAGCAGTTTACTATTCTTATCAATACAATGTCGTTAAATAAGACTTGTGAGCCTACTTCATTTGCTTTCATCTGTACTCTTTTCTTCATTCGTTGTGAAAGCTATTCTTCTCCATATTTCTTGTGATTTTTTATATGAAATAAAATTCTACATTTCAAGTCATGGTGAAAATTCTTGTCAGTATTCAAATTGAGAGAATTAGTTTTTACTTCATGAAAGAAAATAAATGTATTCATCAGAAATTGTAAAGGTGTTGACATTCTGTTTTCAATAATTAATAAACAAGTGTTTATATTTTGTGGATTCAATAATAACATAAATAGTTTTAATAGTAAAAATAAAAATAGATTTGTAATTATTACAGATCTTTACAAACTTGTCAATACTCTTAGGATGGAAATTTCATACATAACTAGTGCCAACCATGGAACTACTAATCCTACGCCTATAGAAGAAGTTCAAAATCTATGTCAAGAGGTTGTGTAGTTAAAAGAAGTAAATAGATCGACCTCACAATCAAATCCAAGAAGTTTTGTTTCTATAAGTACAACAAAAAGAAGGATTTGTATGACTCGAGAAGTTTGATAGAACAAGATCAAAATTTTGAGGATTTTTGTAACAAATCAAGTTCTTTCTAAGATTGCATCATTTCTAATATCTTCATGGAATTACTTAAGTTGGATTCATAGGTGCTTTTCTATCTAGAAGTGCTCTCTCTTCATTTGCACCTTTGATGGAAAAGAATTAATGAGTTTTTTATAATTTGAATTCATTTCCAGAAGTGTTTATGGTTATATTCAAAGAAAGTGATTAAAAAAGAGTAGCAAAGATCAAGTTCTTATCTTTATGACAAGGATTATGTTTAGCCACTTTATATGCTATTGAATTCCAAAACCTTTCTTGTAATGTGGATTGAAATGATAAATCTTTTATTAATCAATTTCAATATAGGTTGAAGGATAATATAAAAGATTTATTATTAACAATGATAAAAATAAAATCTTTGGAATAATTTATTATTCAAGCCATTGCATGCAATAATCAATTATTTAAAAGGCATGAAGAATAAAGACTTGCCTAAAGAGGAACAAGTCAAGTAATGATGACAACTCTTAAGTTTTTAGAAACTTATTCATCATGGCCAAAACTAATGCAAATTGATACAATACATTTTAAACTCCTTAATGAGCAAAAAAAGACTTGACATTGTTAAGAGAATTTTTACTTATATTATGGAAAAAATAAGCACATTGCTTAATATTGTCCAAAGAAGCAATACAATTACTAAATGAGGAGCACAATTTTTACAAAAGACAATGTATCAAAAAACAAGTTTTTTCAGCTATAATAAAGACTATGCGACTAAAATTGTGTGCAATATCTACTATAGGTTATATTTTTTTTCAAATCCTTCACCTTATTTTATAATAGATGTATATTTAAGACCTAAAAATCACAATATCTTTGCATTATTAGATTTAAGAGCCTTAGCATGTTTTATAGACAAAGACTTTGTCAAAAAAGAAGAAACATCTTTAGTCAAAAAAACTAAATCCATACATATAGAAGTCATAAATAATTATTTGTTGTCTTCTAAAGATATTATTAATGAAAATATTCCTTTAGATGTAATAATTAAAGATCATAATATCATAGTAATATTTAATGTGATAAGATCTTCTTTTATTTTGATTATTTTAGGATTATTATATTTAGAATAACATAACCTTCAAATAGATTGAATTTTTTGTAATCTGAACTTTTTTAGTAGTTTAATCCAAAATCCTATAATTTAAGTATATCTAAACCATTATTGATAAATAGGAGAGCTTTCATTTATGCCACAAAAGAAGGATTATCTTTTGCTATATATGCTATGATTATTTTTGATGATAGAAAGATATTAAGTGGTATTTTTAGCTAATATCAAGATTTCTAGGATATTTTTGAAAAGAAGATTGAAGATTTTTTTGAGAGCATTGATCTTATGATTGTTTAATTAATCTACAAGAAAAAAGTTAACCACCATTCAAACCAAATTACAACTTATTGCAAAATGAGTTGACTATACTAAAGGAATATATTAATGAGAACTTGGTTCAAAACTTCATATGCCATTCAAAATCTCCAACAAGAGCTTCTATGTTATTTGTGAAGAAAAAAATGGATCTTAATAGTATCATGTTGTGGTTTGGCTATTATGTGAAAATAATGTCTATATATATATATATATATATATATATATATATATATATATATAATTTAATATACAATATAGTGACAACTATGTTATTAGATTTTATTTGGTTACAAAATGTGGTTAGATTGCTACTTTAAAGTAAGTCTAAAAGGGCTATTATTGAGGTTGATTTTTATATTGATAATAGTTTTTATATATTTAGAGCTAATATTATTAGATATTAATAATTCTTAAAGTATTATTTTATTTCTTTTATTTGGTGTTTAGGACACATATTATATAAAATTATTAAGAAAAATATTAAAGAAGGATTTTTTTATAAAAAAACAATAATTAAGCCATCCATATAGATGAATGGAGATGGATGATAAAAATTTCTATTCTTATTGGCCAGAAGTTATAGCTAATAAGCTTCAAGGAGGCTACCTAAGGACTTATTAGGAATTAGGATTACTCTTTCAAGGACATTCAAACATCAGATGTTAGAATTGTCAAGTTTAGAATTTTTAATATGGTTTTGGTGAAAATTTTGTATAATTTGGAGTTTTTTTGAAGGAGATATAAGTGCTCAAAGTCAAGGTGTTGATTTTATACTTACTGTCATTCTTTGGTGTATGGCGCATGTATATGAATGATTTTTGAAGATTTTATTTTTTGATTGAAAATTTAGTTTAAAAGACTACATTCTTTATATAAAAGGCAAAAGATTTGGAATTGATTTAGAGAAGCAATAAATACTTGTTGACAATACTTCCAAATTGAGGCTTGTCTATAAACCAATTTCATAATTGATTTGGTTCTAGCCATATCTTAGGCATTTAGACGAATCATTGGCTAATTTTTAAAAACAATATATATTACTATGTTATAAAGCTACATAATAAATTTTATAGCATTTGAGTTTTGGATTTTTAAGATGTGAAGAAAATAGTACTCAAGTAGTTGTAAATTGGAATTAAGAGAACCTATTAGGGTTTCTAAGATGCAAAATAATTTTTAGTAAATTTATAGTTCATACTTATTATAATAAAGCTTAAAATTAAATACTACATTATCTAAAAACTTGAAAAACATTGAATAATTGGATTAAGAGATATGAAATTCTAAAGTTCAAAGAAAAAAAATCTTTTGTAGAAAAAAAATGTATTAAAAGGATTCTGCTACAATTTGAGTATTTTATGCTAAGTAAAAATATTTTTCGGAGCCAAGACTTTATATATATGTTAAAGATGGAGATATAGAGCTATGATAAAATTATAAGATAAATATGAATTTTGAAAAGAGATTATGGATTTTCTTCAAAATTATTAAAAATCCAACTTATCAATAAATGACTAGTTATGATTTAATATAGAAGCAAATGTTAGGAAATTTCTAAATGCTCTAGAAAGCCTTATATATAAATCTTATTAAATATAAGAGATTTTATTAGTAGAATATCTTTCAATATTATTGTATTTATTTATCTTCTTTAATAAAAATATATAATTTATTAGAGCTTTGTTAATAACTTAAAATTAAATTCTCTATAACTAATTACCTAATATATTCCTAGATCATAAATCATGCCATACAACAATGGATGTCCTTAGACTATTGAGGACTTAACAATATCACTATCAAAAATAGATATTTCTTTCTTTTGGTTTTAAAACTTCTTAATCAATTCAATAAAATATATATATATATATATATATATATATATATATATATATATATAAATAGATTTAAGAAGAATATAAAACTTGGTCTACATCAAAGAAAGAAATAAATAAAAGACTACTTTTTGAACTAAGTATGAACATTTCAAATATAAATTCATAACTTTTAGAGTTATAAATGCACCAACTACTTTTCAACATCTTATAAATGAAATTTTTGATAAATTTCTTGAAGATTTTGTTATTTGAAAATTAGAAAATATTCTAATATATTCTAAAAATATAAAAGAATATAAAATTTATGTTCATTGTGTGTTATAAAAACTAAGAGATGTAAGATTATATGCCAAGATAAAAAAAAAAGTATATATTCCATACTACTCAAGTTGACTTCTTAGGATATATCATTTTAAACAAAGATCTAATAATGGATATGAATAAGGTCCAAAGTATTATAGATTCAAAGATTTCAAAAATAATAAGAGATGTGCAATTATATTTGAGATTTTTCAATTATAATAAGATCTTTATTAAGAAATTTTTTCAAATTCTAGCTATTCTTATATATCTGACATGTAAAGATAAACTTGAGTAGAGTAAAGAATTCGAAGCATCTTTTGAAGCCTTAAAATCAACATTTCTTTTGTACTAATCTTATACTATGTCAAATTTTTAAATATATTTTATATGGAAATAGATGCATCAAGCTTTATTATGAGTATAAATTTGTAACAAATATAAGTCAATGATAAGTTCTATCTCATAGCTTTTCATAGATTAAAATTTTTCAATTATTATAAGATCTTCATTAAGAACTTTT